ACTTCCACCCCGGGGCGCTGGGCAAGTCGGCGGAGAGTAGCGGCGAGCAGAGCGGCGACGAGGAGGACGGCTTCGAGGCCGGGGTGAAGGGCGGCGCGGCCTTCGAGCGAGAGGGCAAGCTGAAGGGGGGAGCCCTGGGCAAGAAGCCCAAGGAGCAGCGCTCGCTGCGCCTCAGCATCAACGCGCGGGAGCGGCGGAGGATGCACGACCTGAACGACGCCCTGGACGGGCTGCGCTCCGTCATCCCCTACGCGCACAGCCCCTCGGTGCGGAAACTCTCCAAAATCGCCACCCTGCTCCTGGCCAAGAACTACATCCTCATGCAGGCGCAGGCCCTGGAGGAGATGCGGCGGCTGGTGGCCTACCTGAACCAGGGCCAGACGCTGAGCACCCCGCTGCCCGCCACCCTCAACCCCTTCGGACAGTCGGCCGTCTACCCCTTCGGCGGCGCGGCCTTGCCCGGCTGCCCCGAGAAATGCACTGCCTTCACAGGAGCCGCCTCCGCCCTCTGCAAACACTGTAATGACAAGCCTTGACTTCTGGCTTCTTCGGGCTTTTTTTGGGTTTATTTTCTTTCTTTTTTTTTTTTTTTTTTTTTTCTCCGTGCACTTTTCTTTCCACTGCCATCAGCCCTGGCTTCCTACCATCAGTTAAGTCTGGGTTTTCTTTTTGTTTGCTTCTCTTAAACACCCACCCCCCTCCCCGTACCCCATTTGGAAATATTTGGCAGTTTGCGTGGACCCCAAAAACACCCACTTTCAACTTTGTTTAGTTACCCCCCACATGCAACTTCATCTGTCGAGTTATTTCCTTCCCAGCCTGTTAGTGGACTGTGAGCAAAATGTTGCTTTTCTGCCTGCTTTAATCTACAAACTTTTTGAGCAGTTTTTTAAACTAAACGATAGAAAAACAGGGAGGGAGAGAGATCTGGATGTAGAAGCCTCAGTGAGTTTTCTTTGGAATGATTGACCTGTGTTAAAAATAGCTTAAAGGGATGGGGGGGGAGCAAAATCCAGCTGCAAAATTATGCAATGTTTTGGAATCATGGGAAGGGGGTGTCCTGTGTAGCCAGCTGGGGTTGGACTGCATCTGCAAATCCCAATAAAAATGACATTCAGTCAGCTCATGGGAGGGGGGAAGTTTGGTGCTCTTGATAAAACAATAGATGCTTCAAAATAAGATGCTTTTTTGCTCTTTAAAAAAAAAGGAGGAAAAAAAAGAAAAAAATATAACCCGTTCTTGAACTGAGAGGAACCTGTGATTGTATGCTAATGCTTGCTTTTTGCCTGTTTCTCAGCTTGGTTAAGTTTTCCAGATGATTTTTCCAAAGTCATTGATCATCATGATAAAGCAAAAGGTCACTTAACATATTTATATGTATTTATAATAAATAAAAGACATGAATAACCACTTTCTCTGTCCTACATGTCTCTAAAACCAGCTGGCAATCAAAGCAAAACCCCTGGTGAAGTAAGGTAAAGCAGAGACGGACGGAGCAGTCCATGGCAGAGGAGCAGTTTTGTGAAGTTAGGTGAATGATCGGGATACCTGAAAAAAAACCTTGTGGACATTCAGCTCCTTATCAGCAGGGATTTGGGTTTCTTTCTCCAGTTTCTCATGAATCGTGAGCACACAAAAAACCCCACTGTTTATGTCTGGCATTTGGAGTGAAGTAGGTAGAGATTTAGCTTGTGTGTTTTGACACTTGCTGGAGAATGCTGTGCCCCGAAACTGGTGTTTGGAAGGGGTTATTGTAGCATCGAGCTCAGCTCTGAGGGCACCCGTGTAAAACATGGCAGGGAAGGAAATTGCTTAAAGACTCTGCTTATCCCTTCGACTTAGTTTTCTGTTATATCTACAGCTTGACCCTAGACCTACATGTGGGGTTTGGGCCACTTAATATCATGACTAAACTAATAATCTCTTGCCAAGTATTGACTGTGTTAGTACAAAGTTACAAAGCGAGTCCCTCGCTGGCTAAGTTTTTGATGTTGCTTGTGTTGGTTTACTTTGGTTTTCTGGTTTATGATGTTTAACGCTTTGGTGCCTTGTATGCTTCACTAGTCATTATATAATAACAATAATTGAGGTGCATTCAGTGATTTCTATTCAGATTGGAATACCCACCCAATGTCAGAGCAACTGCGTAAACTGGTACAGTTGCAGCCTGAGGGGCTGGAGCTGTCCATGGCCATTTGTGTTAGGAGTGGGGTGTAACTATTTAGGGTTATTAAACCAATTTCCATGCCTGTCGCTAGTGTTATGCTAATTTGAAAAGGACTGCCATCCCTCTAAAGCTGTTTGTCTGTGGCACTTAATTTTAATTAATACATTTCCAAAAGACTTTTTGTGTTTGGAAAATGAAGTGTGTGATTAAGCCTCGTTTATAAAGACATATGTTTAAAACTGGTTCCTGCTCATTTCCATTTTTATATCTTCATTTCTTCTTCTTTTACAGAATAGTTTTACAGAGCAGTTTATCTGTTGTACCTTTTTCCATAAAAGAAATCTTGAAAATACTGTTAAAAGGCACCTGACGCAGTGAAAGCCGACCAAAACCACTACTGAAGCAAAAATGACTGGAAACTGCAAATCAGCAAAGGTCATTTAAAATTTTGCAGACTGAGTTGTTGCTAGATAATATTTGGGGAAAAAAAGGTCAGTTTAACAGAAAATCATGATCTTGAGGTAAATGTTTATTACGTCTGGTTAAAATTATAGAAGATTGAGCATTTGGGAATATTTAAATGGAGATTAGTTAACTGTTCATTTTTCACCAAAACTAAAATAGTTGGGAGAATAAAATATTTAACAGCTTAATATTAAATATGAGTTTGGTTTGGTTAAAGACTTAAACTGATAATAATGGAATTTATAATTGCTTCTTTCTCAATTATGGCAAAAAAGAGTGACTCACCGATTTCAGAGCCCAGAAAGTCTTCTTAGTCTTAGAGACAAGCTATTTTTGGAACAATGATTTTTAGTACAGGGATTGTTTAATTCTTCTCCTATAACTGACATGAGTAAAAAGCTTGCTTATATTGCTGTATCTATGCAGAATCCTAAAAATCCACCTTCTCAGAGTCCTTGAAATAGTCAGAAGGTTCTTTGAGAGCCCACTTTAATTTAAACTATCTCATGAGGCTAAATGTGGAATTTCGAATACAGAAGATAAAACCTGCATTAAAGAAAATTGTGATAGAAAAATTAGCAAGCTTAAGTATCTAAGTACTGTTAAAAGGCTAGGTATTCAAACCAGAAATGTAGACTTTATCAAAGCAATGCTAGAGGAACGTGTAAATTGTGGTTGAAATCGACCTTAAAGTACAGGTTTTTTAATTCAAAAGTAAAATGAAGTCCACTCATAACTTTTCCTGCAGCAAACGATATTAAACTAGAAGTTGGCTAACTTCTCCGTTAATCTGAAAGTTCAGTCCTGTGAGTTGCTTCTCGCCACCACAGACTTGTAGGATTTTAACTCTTCTCATGGGGTTGAAACCCGTACCGAGTCCTTCGCATGTCCCGTTGACAGGACAGCATTCATTTCGGTGTGATTTACACTTTGTGCTGAGCTGCTGCTAAAACTGCTGCCAAGCCAATGCCTAATAGCACTGCAAAGATGATTTTTGTTGGGAGCATCTGATCTCTGCATTTGTGTGTGTGTGCAGCATCAGTGCTAACCTTGCAGATGTGCATGGTTATCCAGGGGATAAAATCCTGTAACTTGTCATTTGTTTTGCCCCTTCTCTGGTATATGAAAAAAAAAAAAAAAAAAATTGTGCACCATGTAAGGTTTTAAGTGTCTGCTTCTGGTTGGTGTTTCAGAGAATATAAAGGGAGGACTTCAAAATGCTGAATATCTTTTTTTTTTCTCCTCGGATATTCTTGTTAATGATGCCTGCTTTTTTTTTCCAAGAAGGATTTATGGTGTATGCTCAGATGGAACTGAAATACAGATCATGTGTTCTAATGTACTCATTATCCTGGTATGTTCATACTTTGACGAAAACATAATGCCAACTTTTAATTAAAGATGATATATTGTTTTCTAACCTCACTTAGTTTTTCTTTGAACTTCAAGAATGATCAGCATGAGGTGTCATTAGAAAGAGAGGCAGAGAGGAGTTGCTGCTCCACTCTCTGCTGCTTTTTTAAGCTGCGTAGTTCCAGTCACTAACCAAAACTACGGTTTTACTAACCAATACGTAAGACCTTACTAATAGGGAGTTGGAAACCGTTGTCGGTTTGCACTGCATCAGTCTGGAGTTAACAATTAGCAGTATTGAGCTTGTGAGGTAAAATCTTGTTTAACCCATTACAGAGACGCAACAGGTTTGAAGATGGAGGACCTGGAGGGTGGCTGTCTACTTCAGATACCACGAAAAATTAAATCAGTTGGAGTTCCTAGAAAGAAGCCATGAGAATCATGCAGTTTTCCTCCTTCTTTAATCCATATAGCTGATTTTCACAATATTGCTGCGCTGTCAAGCTTGTTTCTGAGACTGTAGGAAGCGATTGGTCACTGTTCTCTGATCATTTTTGGGAATTGTTCTTTACGTATACGTTTCTATAATTTCCATCTTAAAATAGCAGTCGACATTTTACAAGGGTGGAATGAAGGGAGACTCCAATCCTGCTGCTATTTTACTGATGGGTGGAGTTTCTGGTGATAGTAAGGACAGCAAGATGGGGCCTGATGCTCCAGAGCTCAGCGGTGGTTTCTGAAACCAACATCATGCTGCCTTCTTTAAGGGGCTCCAGAGGACCAGAAAAATCTGTCCAAGCTTTATCCCTTCACTTTATTAGCCTTGTAGCATTACTAAAGCGTGGGACACTGTGGATAAAGACATCCCTTAAAAGCTTTCACAGTTCTTCAGACCAAACCTGCTTATTGCCAGCTCAGCAGCGGGAGTCGCAGTGCATGTCCTGCAAGGCTGAGTTTGCATGTACAGCAGGTTTCTAGCTGAGTTTTCCACACTTGGGTTATTTAGCTTACAATTTAGGAGAACAAACCCAAGCATTCCACATTACACTTTTTTCCCCTCCTGCTTCTATAGCCTATATTCAAATAAGTCCTGAAAATAAGAGGTCGGACTTTGCAGCGTTACTGAAATTTATTTTTACCTGTGCTTGTTGCCTGCCGTGTGAATCATCAGTAGAGAAATCATTGCTGTGATCACAAATAGGTGAAAACACTTTTAAAGAATGGCTAGAATACACCAACCAATATTTTTAATTTTCAAAACTGCTTTTACTCTGTTACCTATCATTTGATAGAATTCTGATTAGTATTGCACAGTAGAAAAGTTGGGGGGTTTGTTTTCACTAATCCTGATTAAGGCTAGAAAAGACTCTTTATTACAGTAATTTTAATAATGTAAATTTTTTTTTTGTGATATGTCTTTAGTCTTTAATCCCCTTTGGCATTCCGTTCAAAGGGAGATGAAAAATTCAGGGATTTATAATATTTAAACCAGTCATTTCATGAATGCTGCTCAGACAGTTTTTCTTCTTGAAATAAAAAACACCTCATGGGTATAGAACAAAATATTTTACTACCAAATTAAAAATATGTTTGCATGTTTTTTTTGTAGAAAAATAGCTTAATATGTTCTTTACAATAAAGTATACGTATATAAGATAAAATGGAAACAATTATCAAAGCAAATAATGTATTTGAGAGATCTTTGCCATTCCTTCAGATATTCTGAAGTATGATTTTCATCATGAACCTTAAATCCTTTCATAGTCAAAATTCACATTAATTCTTTTACCTATGACCTCAAATTCTTATTTCTATTTGTGTTTATAAATACATACTGTTTTAAAATGATCCAGTTAATTTTAAAAAATATTCTTAGCCTCATTTAACAACAGTAAAATTTGAGTTAATATTTATTGCTGAAGTGCTGAACAGTTTCAAGCGTAACTCCCAAAATTTCTTCAAGGCCAAATTGATTAATCATAAGTATTAGTGTTAAATTAATTTGTAGATACATTTAGCCAAGCTGTTTCAGACAAAAAAAAAAAAAACACAAGTACATAACGTCTTACACAACAGAGGAAGAGAGCATGCTGGTTTTCAAACTGCCTGCCCTAGTGAAACAGTTAAAATATTTTTTTATTATTAAGAGCTTATTTTCATTTTTACATCTTTAATTTCATCAGTGATTCATGTTCTTTAAAATCTGTTTCGTTAGTGCAGTTTGTATTTGCTTAATTCCTATTTCCCCACACTAATGTTTTGTGTGTTTATGTATGTTGATACGGAATTGAACCATGAATATAACCCAACCTTCCTCAGCTACCAATGGAGAAAAAACTATCTGCTCTCTTGCCTTAAGTATTTCAAAGGGAAAAACATGGCTGAGCAAAAAAAAAAAAAAATCACCCCAGTTTTTCCTCCAAGCCCACTTTTGTCTAAAGTAATGAGGCCATAGTCAGTTGGCTCCAAAAAGCGTCGTGATTTAGTGTGACGTACAGTGAATCATTGCAGATCCATTCGGACTGCATTCGTTATTTTAATGAGACAGAGGCAAATCTGTTTTTTGGCCGCAAACCTTAAGCAGCAAGCATAATGCGAAATGTTTGTTGATTGCCACAAGGCAAGTGACATTATAGATTTTTATCGCCATCATTATGTGGCTTAAAACTCGCTACATCCCAAGATATTTAGCCCCTTCCCTTTTCTCCTGCAAATGACAGGGAAGTTACAGGGCTGACATTTAAAAGCAAAAAAGCTCATCTATTTAATTTCTGCACTTACTAAAACCTGACGTTGCATCCAAAGGTCTGCACTTTTTTTTTTTTATTCACACTTTCCCAGAGGAGAAGGAAAACCCCCACCGCAACGCGGTCACCCAAAAAAGGTCACATTCAGTTGGGCGACAGCAGTACTAGGTCCCCACCAGCCTTTGCTTGATGTAGTATAAGAAATGACAATGAGGCGGGCATTTCTTTGCACAAACTGTAATCACAGTAATGGTGTTCATCAGAATTTAGTAGAGCTGAACTTTTTCTACAGTCTGTAGTCATGTTTCCTCTCCCACGATACCAGTAAGGAATTTACCGTGCTTGTATTTGCCTTCAAGAAAACAGCAGTCAATTGATTATTGAAGGAAAAAAAAACTTTTAAAATTGGGTTACGCTGATAAATACGGGGTTTTTTTCTGCAGGCATGCTTATCTGTGTAAAACACATCCACATGCATGGTATGTTGATGCACGCTTATAATGTCTTCACATATATTGCACCCGTGTGTGCCTGAACAAATATTTCTATATTTTTTTTTTACCCAGCGGTGTCTTTTTTCCATCAATTGTTGGTGGCTTCACTGGAATGTTTTTATTATGTTTTCATGAAACTTTGTGCACCATCATTTGACCGTAGCACAGAAAGTGTCATTGCATAAAAACCACCGGTCTCCTGAAAAATTGCTTTGGCCTGTTCAACCTGACAGACCCATGAATAATATTTTTCATCATTTTATTTTACCCTTAAAAAGAAAGTGATGTCTTGGGACAGGACAGGGTGTTAGTTTCCCATTCTGCCGTCGGCAGCTTTGCAGTGAGAATGTTGGAGAACCAGCGTATCTTTGCTTTTACTGGTTTCCAAATGCATGCATCCTATTTTTATTGATTTGCTAAAAGTAAATGTCATGCATTGCGCTCTTCACAGAGATGTCATGAAGAAATCCTTATGCCTCGCATTTGTGAATTATATTACTTTTAAGTATTTTTTTTTATCTCCTGGCAGCTTCAGTGTAGAGCAAACTACACAGCTGACAGCCATAGTGGGTGCACTCAGTGTTTACAGCAGAACTGAGGCTGTAGGGGAAAAGGATGAAAATCTCTTGCAAAATGTTAAAATGGGTGCTGACTTGGAGGCCTCTGGCTTCGTTTTACATCCTTTCCGATGTCCAAGAAAATACAATTTTCCTCCTAACAAGTTTTCTCCCCTCGGCTTTTTCCCTCTCTTGCCTCAATCAGTTTCCTGGAAGATTTGAGGACAGAAAACACTTTAGTTACAGGAGCTCCGTTACTCCTAACGGTTCTTTTTGCAATTGAACGTGGCACCGTATAGAATAATCTTGGCGCTGGGAGATTGCACAGCGTAGGCAAGTTTATTCCTGTATGACTTGACTCTTCTTTCAGGTGCTTGCTTGTAGCAGTTCGCAAAAACCCTTTAGGGGTGGGAGCGGGGGATAAGCAATGCAGCAAAGAGCACCTTTTCTCAGATGTTTCTCTCCTTTGTAGGTGTTTGGGGTCCGTCTTATATTTAAGGTCATCAAAAGCAAAACCAAAGTCCCTTGTCAGGCAAGAGATTTTCCTTTCCTTTTTGAGCTCTTGTGTGCACTTGTTAGGACCAGACTGCTTGTTGAAGTTCTCATTATTGCAGATTATCTCCCCTGTAAATGCTTCTGCCCTCGATGGGATTCTGATCCAGCCTGCAAACAGAATAGTTCCTATATAAATATGTGAGAAATTAATTCTCGACCACGTTGGGTGTGCAATGTCTGTAGATATTTCCTTGGGTTTGGTTTTAGAGTTAAACCAAATTGGGAAGAAGCATCTGATCATTTTTGTGAAATTCTGTTGCTTTTTGACTTCCTTCCCCAGTTGCCTTGCCCTGAGGCACAGGAAAGATCAAGGCATTTGCCCATGGACACACACTGACTTGAGTGAGTGGCTCTACCATATTTGAATTCAGATGATCTTAGCTTGCTGCTTTCCTAAATAAGCTGCACGTTGCGCTGCCTCCTCGGCAGCATCTGTGCTGACGTTTCTCTCTCTCCCTCCACCCGCTCGGGGTCCCTGGGAAGATTGAGCCTCTATTGTGGTGGTGTTGTCACCCAAGTCACCTCCTGGCTCCTTCTGGAGCAGTGACAGCCAATGGAAAAGGTGGTGTAGCTACATCTTGGCTATTTCTAGCAATCTCCTGCCGCTACGGTAGCCCAAGGCAACTTGAACCTACCCCGGGGACCAGCCAGTCCCCAGCTGCTTCCAGAGTGGAGAATCATAAAGGTGGCTTCAAGCCACCTTTGTTCTCCAAT